AATGCATTATTAACTAAATGAAAATTATTACATACACATTTATAGCAATCAATACATTCTTAGGATCATGTTTTCCCAATATCACACAGTTCACACACCCTGCATGCTTACAGTTTAAAACACACTGCAAGGCCTCATAAAAAACACACACTGCTAGTCTTCAAGACTTCAAGAGGAAGAGTATTAAAAATAATCTATAGGTTATATTATTTACAGTCTAAGCAATCAACCTGAAGATTACTTTTTCACAATTAAAAACACACTAATGAAAGCACCATAGAAATAATTCATATAACCAAGAAAATGGATTTTATTTTTGCTTAAAGGCAGATAAAATCAATAAAAGCATCAATAATGCAAACAGCTGAGTGATGATGGGTCAGATGGGAGCAGACAGAATCTCACTTCTGAGGTGAAGAAACATCATGGATCACTAAATGTTCCCCAACATCATATTAAGACATATGTTGACCTTATTTCCTGAGTTTTCTTCAGATTTGTAAGTACTCATCATCACTAAAGACGCTACATCTGGGCTGTCACTCTCCATCAGCGTTATGATGGTTGATGAATTTGCCTCAGGAAACCTCTGGATTTTATATTTCCTATGCAGCCAAGAACACAAACAACCCACAAACATCAATATCTGGGTAACACTTTATTTGAAGCGGGGTGAATAAGACTGACATGACACTGTCATAAACACATGTCATGAACATAAATAAGCATTCATGAATATTTATGACTGTTGTCATAAAGCGTCATTTGGTAAATTATGACACTTTTAATACAAAGTTGACATTATTCAAAATGTCGTTATGACATCTTGACATTAACCAAGAAATCATTACTGATGTCAATTTGTTATAAAAGTATTACTGATTGCACTTTAAAAATTAGGTAACTTTATGTTATTAAAGGTAAAGTTTAAACAGTAATGATTTCTTGGTTAATGTCAAGTTGTCATAAAGATATTTTGAATAATGTCAACTTTGTATTTAAAGTGTCATAATTTACTGAATGACGCTTTATGACAGTCATAAATATTCATGAAGGCTTATTCATGTCATGTTTATGACAGTGTCATGACAGTCTTATTCAACCCCCTTCAAATAAAGTGTTACCAGTATCTGTTGTACAATCGGACCTGAAATATACAGCAAATTTCTTCCCACTTGTTTTGGTGCATAAAACTAGCGAGTTTTCAGAATGGACCTCAAAGTAGAGTACACATGAACACTTCCTTGTTCCTTGTCTCTTTGCTTTAAGCGCTCAATGAAGCTAATTTTATTTTATGCATGCAAGACTCCAGGGCAAGGCTCTTCATGGTCAGCAAGCACTGTACACGCTGGATGCGTAGTGGGGCATTTTATTACATAACCATTTATACGATGCACAATCAGATGCCGCTACTAAATGAAAACAGTAAAAGTTACTGGTCAGTCGGGGTCAATCAATCGCCTCCCGTGCATCCTGCTCAGAAATTCATCCCAAAGTTGCCATTTCCATCAGATGGGGTCGATGTGGACCTACAGTCTGACAAGCCGCATGTCTCTATCAATAGCTGCACATAATTAACAGCCCTCGCTTTACGCAGTCAGGCAAGAGGGCATGACAGTTTGTTCAATGTGGTCTCACTTCGTTCAAAGTCAGACAGGAAGTCAGTCAGGCAGCTGCAAACTCTGGCCTGTTCCCCTGCTTTCTCAGCATTTCCCTCCAATCAATCCTCTGGTTTTGTATTCCAAGAGAGACATTAAAATATACATCTATAAAAATCACCAGTCTGCAAGATCTCCTGGAACGAGTGCTGGACCTAAATTAAAAAGTACTGATTGAGCAATATCGGGTTCTCTCTTTTTTGGATCGGCTCCTTTCTTCTTTGACGACGTGTTGCACCACTAAGCCACTAAGTAGGAGTGGCCCGGAGTGTGAACTTAATCTCTTTATCCCTGGATCTCTGTGCTGCTTACTGTCCAATTCAAGAACCTTTTCAAGCATCTGCCAAAAAAGTTAATCCCCACTGTTTAAATCCCGGTCGTTTGCGCCAGCCACTCTATGAAATTCTCTCTGCTACTATTATTACAGCGTTACTGGTGTTTTCTATAAACTGTCCCACCCTGCTGCCGTTTCCATTGGGTCACACCTGACTGGCAACGCTCATTATTACAATCCGCGTAAAACAAGATCCAACCCAATCTGAAAATATGTCCTCTGTAGAGAAAGGCTGAGTGATTCAGCATCTGACTAGAATATCTACACACTGTAAACATACATAAAATTACTAAGTAATAATTTAAACTAAAGAATGAAATTTATTTTTTCTCTCTTTTGTGTCACTGAAGAAAAGTTTCAATAGCATCTACTATAAGCCAATGGGAGACCCTGTGCATATTCTATTGCAGTGTTTCCCAACCCTGGTCCTCGACGCACGCCGTCCTGCATGTTTTAGGTATTTCCTTGCTTCAGTCCAGCTGATTTCAATCCATGACTGAATAACAGGCGTTTGCTGAACTGCAATCAGTTGAATTAGGCACATTAAAGCAGGGAAACCTCTAAACCATGTAGGACAGTGTTCCTTGAGGACCAGGGTTGGGAAACACTGTTCTATACTATGTTACTGGAGGATTGTGTTAAGTCCCTATGGTTACACTGGCAGCCGTTGCATGAGTGTGCATGGAAAAATTATACAGTAAACATTTTCATGTCTACTACAGTATATTTTATTCAACTAGATTTAAATGCAAATTACATTTAGCTGGATTAATAAGTACAAATTACTCTGTAAGATACTGACAGATCATGTGTTTGTTGTATTGTTTATAAAAATTTAGAATTTGTAATGCCATCTAACTTCTATTTAGATTAACAAAATTATCGCCACCAAATCAGATTGAAAAACTGAACTAGATACAACATATAATACCGATAAATACAGCTTTAGTTATTTTATCTTCTTCCCCTCCCTTCTTATTTCATAATCTTCTTCTTCCCTTCAATGCCATTTAACTGATCAACAACATTCTCAAATTTCAATTCCCTAAAACCTAATTCCGTTTTAATGGGCGCTTTCTTCTTTTATTTCCAATGTCAACTTACAATTATTCACTTCCTGTTAAAGAGCCCCCTGGTGGTTGAAGAAAAATCCACATGTAAGCTGCACAGGGCTATAAACTGCATGGTTCAAAGCATGGTTCAAAAAAGTAGCGGCTTATAGACCGCAAAATACGGTATATGAGAAAAAAAATATAAATGCTCTCTGGTATTGTTCAGGGGGCCGGACCAAATGTGGAGGCGGGCCGATCAGGCCCGCGGGCCGTAGTTTGGGGACCACTGGTATAGCACATTTCAGCAACAGGGCAGTTCAAAGTGCTTTACATCATAAAAACATTGTACACATCAATTATAAACCAAGCAATAAACATTACATTGTGTCAAATGCCATCATCAAAATTATCAAGCTAATAGGCATTAAAAATATTGATCAATGTTCCAGTTACTCCTAATCAAAGGCAACTCTAAACAGGTGGGTTTTTGTAATTATCTTTATGCAATTCTGAAGGTTCAGGTCTGAGCATGTTTTTGCTGTTGCGCTACTCGCACAGTAACTCAGCCACAACAAGATGGATTAGTTAGATTACTTTACTTTTCAAACCAGAATATTTTGTAATTGCTGAATTTGTCTTTCCTGTAAGCAACAAAACCATTCTTGTAGTCTTCTTTAAGCCAGCTAACCAGCAGTGCACAACAAACAGTAGAGGAGGGGCAGTGTTGTGCTGCTCTACTTCCATACAGTCCAAGATAACTCCAGTGCATAACAAGACATTTTTAGCAGTTTTGAAACCATAGTTCTTTCAAACTTTGGTGTCTATGTATCGGAAAGCAAACATTGCCAAACAGAAACAGAAAATTGCTTCAAATAAACAAACTGAAACAAAGTCCGTATTAAAAGTAGCACAGCAGACGGCTCTCACAACAAAAAAGGTTTATACACACACATCTTAACATTTCACACTTCTTCCTATAATAGCTTTTTTGTATTATTCAAATGGTGTTCATATTTTCAGACACAAACATACAAAATAAAATCAAGTGACTTGATTGACTACATACTTCTCCAGCCCAAACCAGGTCTGTTGTTAATTAAAAAAAACACAATTAACTTTATTTTAAACTTTACCTAAAGTTGTTTAAAATAATTTAATTTCACATTCTACAGCAGTGTTTCCCAATGCTGGTTCTCAAGTCACACTTGACTTCAATTAATGGCTCATTAAGAGGTTTGGCTGAACAGCAATGTTTGAGTCAGGTGTGTTAAAGCAGGGAAACATCTAAAACATTCAGGGTTAGGTTGAGAAACAATGTTCTAGAAAAATGAACATGACCTTTAGGCTTAAAATATGGGATTGGTTAGTAACTGGCGTTTAATCTGACCATTATGAGATTAATGCCAGTACTTTAAATAAAAATATAAAGTATTTTTTTTAAGTTGCATACATGATCTCTGTGTAAGTTATGTGCAAAGATTCAGTTTCAGGTGAAACTGAATCTTTTGAAAGTATTTTGAGCATACCTGGTTCCAATGAGTCTACAATTCAAAGCAGCAAATAAATTCCAATTTAAAACAGGGAGGACTTTCATCTGCAACTATCCACATTGACAGTGTCGGTTGCTCTCTTTCCTTGCTGTTATGTTTGAAGGCACTTCATTTAACCGTTAATGTTAGCATAATACTAACGCACATCAAACCAAACATGCATGGGTAGAAAATTGCAGCCACATTGATTAGACTTAACAGCGACAAACCCACTGAGTCACCGTCGCAGAAATCACTTCCACCATCTCGTCAGGCGCTGATGAACAGGCTCCATAAGCGGGGGAGGCTTAGCTTCACACTCGTATATTTACGACAACCAACCAAGCGCTCCTCCTAAACGCTGCACTTCTACTGTTTTCTGCTCCTCTGACAGGACTAAACACGAAGCGTAGTGACATCTGCTTACCGAAAATACGTCCACGTCCGTGGCAGCCATGGTGTGGAATGTGTGTTGACGGCGTGCTGAGCAGCAGACTGAGCAGAGACGAAAGGGAACAGCCCTCCTCTCTCCTTACTTAGCCTGCTAAACTAACTGAAGGCGAGCTGACAGGGATGGGAACAGAGGGACACGAGGCGGAGGCGAACCGAGACAAGATGGTTCCCTGCTGCCTTGTTTGATCGTCGATCGGTCATTTTATTCATCTTTACCCGAGAGGCGGTCTTAAAACATTAAAAAAAATTAAATAAAAAAAAATCTGATAAATAAAGGTAAATTTGAACCGTTTGCAAATTGTTGAAATCATCCGCTTTGCACTTGAGTAATATTCTGGTCACAAATATTACAGCTTATTGTGTGTTACATTAGCTTTAGGGTTTACCTGTTTTTTATATATATAACAACATCCCCCGACTCGTCCAAAACAGAGTATCGTTAATTTTGCATTAAAACGTTTACGAAGACCTGTGCCTAACTTAAAGAAAGGGTGTGATTATCTTGACATAGTTTAGATCTTTGTTTGTGACGAACACGTTTCAATTAGTGATGGGAATTTCAGTTCCGTTCAGAGATCCGAATCATTTGGCTTAGCTCCTGAAAAAGAGACGACTTCAGTTCCCAAACCTATTTTTTGTGGGGTATACATTATACAGATTAATTACACACAGCTGGGTATTTTTTAAAGTATTCTTTAATTATGACGATTTTTCACTTACAGCTGAGGAAATCATTTAAAATTAGAATATTACATCTGACTAATAAAAAACGATTTTTAAAAACAGAAATATAGGCTAGATGAAAAGTATGTTTAATATCTGCTTAAAGGTTGTTAATTTCATAATGTACTTGTAATCTGACATACAATGAGACTTGTATGTACAGTCTAATTTATTGAAATGACTGTATATTTAATTCTTGTAATTTGTGTAGAAGCCATCTTTGGTAAATTAATTTGAACACAGTAATTCTGTTATGTTTGATATAGCTAGAAAGTAAATTGACAGCTTACAACAAATGAGTTTCTTAAACCCATGGCAACAAGTCAACCTATGTTTGTTGACATGTTGAATGCCAGAGAGAATAGACTGCTACGAGTTTCTACAACAAATATTACTTTGAACCAGGATTGGACTTTTGAATGGTCTAAGCCAAAAAAAATAAATAAATCCATATCCTTATAAGGCAGTCTGTGAGTTCTGTACTATTTAATAATCTGAGATATTTAAAATCCATTAAATGTCAAAGCTATGGCTTGGTAGAAACATTGCTTAATCTCATGTTTTGTCTTGTAAATTCTGTGCTGGTAAAGATTTACACACCTTTTGCAGAATGCTTGGAACTGAAAGAGAAACTGACTGCATGACCTTCAATGTGATTACTTGAGCTAATGATTGTCTGACCTCCTGGAGACAGAGTATAAACTTTCATTTATGGCTGAGCATAATTATTAAATGTAATGTGTGTTTATTGAATGAATGAAAAAACATTTCAGGGTATGTTAGTAGATTTATAATAATTTTTAGAGACAATAAGTTTTGTAAATTTTCCTTTATTGGAAGACAAGGACTAAAACCGTTGAAGTGAATTTGAAAGTAAAATTGAGTGGAAGGAAATGTTTGGCAGACAACAATGTAAAAGATAAAGAGACAGCCACAGAGAACTGTGAGGGGGTGGAAAGCATAGCAACAATAAAGTTGAAATGCACAGTTCATGTGTGGGCTTTTTTGTTAAGCCAACATGGCTATGTGAGAATTTTATTATTATTGGCCTGGAATATTGAAATTTTCAGTAAAACTAAATGTACAACTTAAGTTTATGTTGAAAAGAACACGAGTTCTTTCTCATTTCGTTAAATGAATCAGCACAAAGAATCGGCTCGGGTACGGGCGGCACATCATTGGTTTCAATATGGCCTCTTCTTATCAGACTCTCCCTTTCAGTTCAGGAATGTCATTATAGTGCAAGCCAGGGCAGGAGCTGATATATGATATGACAGCACAAATATGTGAGGTTATCAAAATGTTTTGGGCTACTTTATGTGCAATAATTCTTTCTAGAAATGCATTGTTACGTTTAAATGAACAAATGCGTTCAAAGACTGAGCTTACAATTGGTTACAGCCAATCCGTGGATAATTAAGATGTCATGTGACATATTGTAGGCTGATTTTCACACAAGGGGGAAAAAGACTTCAATCCATGCGGAAAAGTTTAATCGATTCTTTTCTTATGTAGGAGAAATTCCACCTTTTACATTTATTCACATGAAATTAGTTAATGTTTTAGTCTTCTCATGAAGCATTAAACGTCCTACCGGTTCACTTTCTTTTGAAAACACCTGGGTATATTATTCAAATCATTTCCACGTCCACACCTTGCCCAATAGAGAAACTCCCCCAGGTAGAGAGGGAGGAGAACAGAGCAGCCAGGTGTCTGAACGGCGCGGCTGTGGAACTCAAGTTTCTTCTTTTTGTTCTGGCTTTAAGAGTTTTATTCATGGATTTAACAAAGGAATCCATTATTTCTTTGCTAGCGGCTGAGGGGGGCAAAGTGAAGAAATCTGATCTGGAGGCACACTTTAAATCCTCAGTGGACTGTGTCGATCCGGCCGAGAAGGATCGGAACAGAGAGCTCTTCAAGACTTTAGTGAACAATGTCGCCTTCGTCAAAGCGATCGACGGGACCCGGTTCGTTATCCTCAGAAAAACGTACCGGCATTTTCTCGGAGAGAGCCAAACGACCGAAAACGGTAATGATGATAGAAATACAGATGTGTCAGGGGAGCAGGAGCAGGCTCCAGATGTACAAGATGAAAAGACTGACAACTCAGAAGAATTAGCTGCTTCTGGGGGAAATCCTGCATATTTATCTCCCGTAGAGCTGGCTCTGCAGAGGAGCAAATGTGAGGAGGTCAAGCTTAAAAGGATGATGAATTTTCATTTTAACAGGAAGGAGAACGATGAAGTCAGGGCCCAGAGCAAACCTTATGGTCTTCCTCTGAGAATACCTGTTTCTACCAGGGTGGAGATCCAAAAACTGAGGGTGAGCCCAGAAGAACCTCCCTACAGTCAAAAAGCAGACACCCCGAAGACTAAGAGGAAGCCGTCCTCGGTGGAGAGTTGTTCGCCCCAGCTGAGGAGGGCAGCAAGGAGCTCCAAGGTGATGGAGGAACCCAAAGACTCAAGGATTTCCTCCATGTTCCCCCTGGAGCAGACGGAGCACGAGTGGCTGGTGAACTGTGCTGCGGGCCACTGGACCCACGTTCACGGTCTGCTGCTCGGCGACTGCCACCTTGCGCAGAAGAAGGACTTCATCTCGGGGTTCACCGTCCTGCACTGGGCAGCCAAGTGTGGGAACAGTAAAATGCTCTCTGTGGTCCTGGACATGGTCCGGGAGGGAAAGGTCACCATCGACATCAACGCAAAATCCCACGGGGGTTACACTCCTCTACACATAGCTGCCCAGCATGACCAAGAGTACATCATGGCCATGCTGGTGGGCGAATTCGGGGCCAACGTCAGGATCAGGGACAACTGTGGCAAAAGGCCATGCCACTACCTGCACAAGGGCATTTCTAAAATTGTCAAGGAGATGCTGATGGAGCCCAAAGCACCGACCCAACCTCAGGCAACGGACCCTCTGTCCCATAGAGAGGAGCAGGACGTGCTGCCAGACCTCTCCAGGGGTCTGCACTCCATTAGCCGTCTCTTCCAGCCCGCGGTGATCAGCCACAAAAAGAAACCCAGTCAGAGGTCCGGACTTTACTCTCTGAGCGAGGACAACAGTGAGGAGCAAGACGCCTCTGGCTTCAGACACAGACTGATGTCTAACGCTTCTGTGTGCTGATGAATGATGGAAACGTCACTTTATTTAATTTTTCAGCAGCCTGCTGCTGCTAAAACAATGAAACATATTGACAACTACAGTTATAATAAAGCAATCTATAGCCAATTATTGATATGAAATCACTAAATTTTGCCAATATCCTGAAAAACGGATGTCCTGTTCAAAAGATGACTGAATAAGAAACTTTTAAGGTGGCGTTTACAGACTCTTTACATTATTTTTGTGGATATTTTAATCAGTTTGCAATCATTTCAGCTCCAGAAAGAATTGTTGTTGCCGTTTGGAATCTACTTGCATGAGAAACATTTGCAAATCAAGACTTGACATGTTTCGCCTCTTGAATTGTTTAGTCAGAGATGAACAAACGGGACGATTACAAAAGGAGAGAATCAAAATGTGGGACTTATGTGTGAATCCAACTCTTTATCAGCAAGAAAATTCACTCATAAATCAAAATGTCAGTGAAATGCATGAAAATATTAACTCCCTCTGTAACAAAAAAATACATAATTATAATATTTAAGATATTCCAAGTCACTGAGTTGAAGCATTTTGATGTAAAGTATATTAAATCTGGCTAAACGCTTTAAAGCGGGTCATTTATTAAAAGCTGCCCGGGTTTTCCTCAAATCTGTTATGCGTGTCGGTGCCAAGATTTCTCTGAAATATTGCTCGGCTTGTTGGGACAGCCGTGATTCAGGCTGATGAGCAGCTGACTGGGGCTTGGTGTGTTCATGTGCAGCTGGAAGCTACAGAGCTAACTGTATCGTCATACTTTATGACCAGCAGCCTGGAGCTACAGAGGAGTCTGCAGGGGGGGAAAATCCTCTCCCTCCCTGCTGCCTCTTCTGTGACTTATGATGTCACTTCCCCGGCAGCCTTCATTGTTCCTGCGTCAAGATGACAGGTCATCTCCTCGCCCGAAGGTTTTGTTACGTAAATGTCCTTTTCTGGGGCAGCTATGAGGAAAAATAAGCTGGGATGAGCAGAATGAGGGAAGGAAGGTATACCATTTTTACATTTGAGAGTAAAGATTTTTTTATTTTTTTAATGGCACCATCCACAACAAATGCCATATCAAGGCACCTAACAAGATTTTGATAATGGCTTCCTCTCAGAAAAAAAGTGGTGGCACTGAGATAGGGACACTTTCTATAAGAACGCAAAATCTTTAAGTGACTTTAATCAGGAAAGGGACACAGCTAAACTGAAACACTGAGCCAAGAATACTTCCTAAGGAATAGAAATGAAGAGTAGACATAGCTTCATTCAGGAAATTCATATAGTCGAGCACAG